TTGAAAGTTTGTTGGATAATAACTTTTGGCTATTCAACATTCAAACAAAAAAAGCATAAAGAAAAAAAAAATAAAAGACCCCTGGCTATGATCACTCACCATAAGAGAAGATTAAATCTAATCATTGCTTTCAACAAGAGAGACAAACGAAAAAAGAGAATTTTGGGAAACAAACTTCGTGTAGCTTTTCTCATTCTTTGAAATTTGTCAATAGACCCAGTAGTATACAAGATATTCACATTTGTATTGAGTACTTAACTATAAAAACCAAAAATTATGGATTGAATTACTCGGTAACTAAACACGCCTACTAAACAAACTCAACAATTTGGATCAATATAGTCGCAGTTCGGATCGGGATCCTAAGATCGTAGAGATCACGATTTATTAAGATCCTACAAATTTGGGATTCTACATGAGACTCAGATTGATTTGCTTATATTAGATCGTAGGATAGTAAGATCCTAGGATCTGAATCGAGATTTTTGTAACAATGATTATAAGAAAAGAAAAGCTATCCTTTGACCCTTATGCATAAATTATCGTTTCAATCTCTCGCTTTTCCTGTTTTATTCACCTACCCATACGACATTAATAGGAGGATTTGAATAGGGATGCATGATTTATTGACCATTTTTTATTCCATATGATCTTCACCTCTAATGTGATCACTTAGCTATTATTAACATTAATCTAACTTTGTAATTTTATCTAAATTTATGCAGAAAGAAAAGCTGTCCTTTGACTCTTGTACAGTACTTGTGGTTTCAATCTCTTGCCTTTCCGACATTAATAGGAAGAGATCACGATGATACAAGGTTACATAGGTTATATTGCATCACTGCAGCAATGATATCTCATTATTATTAACATGTGGTATTAGCATTCAAAATAAGACACGATTAATGCATAGTGCACGCACAAATGTATTCCCAAACAATAATTTAACAACTACCGTACATGCTTATGTGGACTATACTTTGCATACGGGGTTTCTTATAATTGGGTCCTAATATTATGTGCCAGTAATATCGTGGAATTANTGTGGACTATACTTTGCATACGGGGTTTCTTATAATTGGGTCCTAATATTATGTGTCAGTGATATCGTGGAATTAATTAAAAATATATGAACTAAGATAAAATTTGTAGTTGTAAAAACTTAAGTTTTATGCTTCGTTTGGTAGAAAGAATGGAAAGTATGAATGATGAAAAGTAGAAGGGACATACTTTCTTTCCTTTGTATTTGGTTGAATGGATGGAAAATAAAAATGACTAATTTTTTTTTTGTGTTGGCCAAGATTAGGAGTGACAATCGAGTCATGACATGTTAGATTCGTGTTAAGTCATAAAATTTTGAGTCTTTTATATTTCTTGTTCCTGTGTCAGGTCATTTTCAAGTTCGTGTCGAGTTATAATCAAGTTCGTGTCGAGTTGTTATCAAGTTCGTGTCGAATTCGAGTCGTGTCATCATGTTGAGTGGAAAATTTTTACCCCTAATTAAGATGAAAAAAATATTTTTTTAATTTTAATTTTTTATTTTAATTTTTATTTTTTTATTATTATTTTTAAATATATATATATATATTTATATTATAATTATATTTTTATATTAAATTAATGTATACATAATATATAGATAAAAAAGATACATTTCAACACAAATAATTAACTTTTTATCCACTTTTCNTATATAGATAAAAAAGATACATTTCAACACAAATAATTAACTTTTTATCCACTTTTCTTCTGATTTTGGAGGGATTGATTTTAGTGAGTTGGAAGGAAAGTTAATTCATCCACTTTTTCATCCTCATATTTTCTTTCATTACAAAACATGATGATTTATTTATCCTTCTAATTTTTCATCCTTCCAACTTTCTATCTTTCTATTTTTTCATTATACCGAACATAGCATTAAAGATTTAAAAAACTAGAACCCCTATTTACATCTCCATGTTTGCTCAAAGAAGGGAGACAAATTGGGCATTTTCTCAGAAAAACCAAATGAACAATGATGAACTTTCATGAGTTTCATCGAACTTCTCCAACTAGGGATCACTATTTTTGTGGCTATGAGATTGTTAGAATTATACAAACAATTAGGCCTATCAATGGATTGAGTTCGGATTGGATTTTAATTAATCCGAATATGAATCAGATTAAAAATCACCGGTTTGAATTCAATTTGTGTATTTGATGGATATCAACATTTGGTCAAATATCTAGTCCGATTCGAATAAGTTTGAATTTCAACAAAATGTCATCAAATAAACAACTGCTTCATCTAATCTTAATACAAGTAAATTTTAATCTAATCCCACCAATTAAACACTCAATTTAAATATTTTTTTTCAATTTCACTTCTATTTTTCCATATTGAAAACCGATTCAAAAATCACAAAAAAAGGAAAAAAATAAACTGGAGGGAGCGAGTTCTTCAAGCCAATAAAAACCCTAGTTTGCCATCTTCAAATTCAAAATAAATGCATGTTGAACTGAAATCCAAATGTTAGAGATTTTATTATCCACAAATTTTTGCAAGCATGGAGGTTGATTCATCGTGAAGATTAAGATACCCATTAAATACTTAATGAAAACCAATCCTTGTTATTTGTGAAGATGAAGAGAGGAAGATGGGGAGAAATAGGGAGATAACATAATAGAAAAGAAGAGGGTGAGGAGAGAGGCAAGAGACATGTATGGATACAGCAAAAGAGGGAGGAAGAGGAAAGTAGTAGATGGGAGAGAGAGAGAGAGATAGGGGAAGCATTAGATATGAGGGCTAACTCAAATTTTAATTAGAATTAGCGAAAGACTAATTTATAAACCAAACATAATGTTAGATTTGATAGGTTAAAGATAAAACAGTTAATGGTACCATATTTTATCACCCTTTTCTATGGTTCTCATAGAAGTGCTTAGGCGCTTATGTGCTATCAAAACACCGAAAANATGTGGACTATACTTTGCATACGGGGTTTCTTATAATTGGGTCCTAATATTATGTGCCAGTAATATCGTGGAATTAATTAAAAATATATGAACTAAGATAAAATTTGTAGTTGTAAAAACTTAAGTTTTATGCTTCGTTTGGTAGAATAGGATAGGATATAGCCATTAAATCCTAACCAGTCCAATGATAGGTGAATTTGGGTTGGATAAGAAAGGATATTTTNAGGATAGGATATAGCCATTAAATCCTAACCAGTCCAATGATAGGTGAATTTGGGTTGGATAAGAAAGGATATTTTTAGATCCAATCCAGTCAACTCTGTCATCCAAACACGCCCAAAATGCGTTGTTGCAAATTCATGATGTTGAATTACACTATGATTTTAGTACTATTAAATAGTGCATTTGAATTCTCTTAAGTTGAACCGAATTATAGAGTGTGAAGTTCGGCTCAACACAGCCGTATTATGAGAATCGTGCATTCAGGATTCAATTGCATTATCTTTGTGCTAACCAAGTTCTCGGAGTTTGCACAAATGATGTGGTTGAATCTTGGTTACACGATTCTCATCGTGCGACTTTGTTGGGTCGAGTTGTAGGCTTTAAAGTTCGACCCAATTTCACATTGAAACTAGGTGTCTTGCCTTATTTAAGTGAAGCACTGAAATAGCTAGCTAAATGATATATGGAGGCATTAATGATCAACCCAACCACTTAGGGCTGTAAGTTCAACTTTCTTTATGAGTTTGTTAGGTGCATCTTAGGATGATGCCGACCATTCTAAACCACCAGGCCTTTTGTTCACCAGAGGCAAAAGTTCCCTTCAATCTGGGGACCTAGAAATCCTGAAACCAATTTTCTAAGTTTTGACTTCTTGAAATGTTAATGTACACAAACAGCCACACAAAAATTCTAGAAATGGATCATTAATAAATCATCAGTGATTTAGTTTAGAGGCGAACAGCTAGAAAACATGTTAGGTATGTGAAAAATATCTATTAGCTAGTAATTTGCATCATTAAAGTGAAGAAGGGACAATATTTCCCCTTTAATGAACCTCACCCTTTTCAGATGTAGGTCAAGGATTTGACGGGTTCTTATGAGTTGTTGGGAGAAAGAAAATTCTAGGTATCTGCATCATAGCTGATGACAGTTGAAGCCTAGAAAGATATAGCCAGTTCATGTTCTGCTCGTAAAGAGAAATAAGAGAATGAAAGCATAATACTAAATCAAGAAACTACTTCTTAACTAAAAAGAAAAATGTTCAGCCAGTTCTATGTATATATTTATCCTTTTAACAACTTAGATTTTACATAGTACTTGATTGCAGTATCCTAGATTTTCCACAAGCACTTCGTACACAGTTGGAGAAACGTATGAAGGGATGCAACAATGAGTTGGTTGGTAGCATTAATGCTCATTTAGACCTCAAACACACACCAACCAAAGAAAATGGCATCCATAATCATCAAAAAGCTACATCATAAAAATTGACATGTTTGCTTGCTTGTCAAAACAACATAGACAAATTATCATGCTCTTCCATAGAACATGAAGAGCTGTGCTGAGGGACCTGTAGTCTTATTCACCGGAAAGGGTTGGGGTGGGACTCTTTAGCCTATACTCCATTTCAGACCTAGTTTTGACACCAAAAAATTGGGGTTGGAATGCAGAGTTCACTCCTTTCCTTGAAATATAGATATTACTAGCAGGCTATTAGGGGTGGATACTTCACTCCCACCCGTGGAGGAGATAATTTCACATATCTGAGAGACAAAAGCTGTGATAATTATGCTAAAATTTTCATAAAGAGTCTTTTTGGGAAAAAAACTATTAATGCTCCAACAAAATGCAGGAATGCAATTGCATTACTAAAAATTTATTACTTTGTAACTTGTAAGTGAATTTTTATTCTAGATCTTTTCTCATTCTTGCCGCTCAAGAAGGCCATGGTTTTTTTTTTTTTGTTCGTGGATTGGAACAGGCTCACTGAGTTGAAGGGATGGTCTACCGACTCTCCCCTCTGAAAAGAATTTTTCTCAGTTGCCATCACAGCCAATTCAACCCTGTTTTCTTTCAAATCAACTATACATATCATTACGTTGGAGGCAAGAAAGTACAATATGCTATACCTACTGTACATATCGTTATATTGAAGGAAAATGCAGAGCAATTTTCCTTTCGTCTTGTTCTTACCTATGTGATATACATAGGCTTAAGTTATTAAAAGAGCAGTGAGGTGGCTTCTTGTGTTGACAACTACATAAGTTCTTCGAGATAGCAAAGGAAGCAGGGGATATACTGAACTACCGAGGACTAGACAAGCAAAGGACCTTTTCCTTTGTTGATTCCATTAGGAGGTGAAGGCGGTATTGGACAATTCCAGTTCAGAAGTTCTTCAATCATTTGCATAGCAATCTTATTCTCTTCATCCATTTCGCCGCCTGCTCCATCAATCCCAGACGACAGAGATTCCGACGATGACAAGGATGGCAATGCATCATCGGGATTTTGTTTCTTGTTGTTCCCAAGCTCAACTCTCATGACCCAGTTGGAGACGGGTCGTCGTCCCGCACTCTTTTGCCACACTCCAAGGTGAGAATTATCTGTATCAAGCCTTAAACAAGTAAGTGAAGGTGCTGGATCCTTGCAACATTTTCGAAGCTTTGCAGTAAGCATGTCTGATAATGCTGATGGAGAAAAAGATGAGTCTTCACTGGAGTGTGTGTGATTGGCATCATTCTTTCCTACTGGAAAATTTGTCTTTGCATTCTGGCCGTTCATCAAGATGGCCGCTTGGTCATATGCTCGTGCCGCCGCCTCTGCTGTCTCAAATGTGCCCAGCCAAATCCTTCTTTTCCTGCGAAATCCAAGCAAACGAGATTGAATGGTGGAATACTCACACACGCACATTTGTGGAATAGAATGCAATGTATATTGCGGAAATCTTTCAAATTTGGAATTTATTATAGGTAGAGACAAATAGTAAAATTACAAAATAATGGTGGAATGTGCTGCTAGGGATGTTTATATATGATATTTTTTTTCATGTGCTGCCTATTAACTGTCATACTATGATTGATAGTTAGAATGTAAACGAGTATATAGGTGCGTGGAACATACAAGGATCTGTAATGTGTGATTTTTTGGGGTTTTGCGCTAGATTTATAGTGTATGGCTGGGTGAGCTTACAGTAAGGGGTGACGAATTTCGGAAACCCAAGAGCCCCACTGGCGTTGCCTAACACCTCTGAACTTCTTTGATTGTACCATGTTGATACAATGTTTGTGTGTGTGTGGGAGAGATTGAGAGGTTGCAGAGTTCAGAGATGAACAATAATTCAGATGAAAGAGAGATAAAAGGATGCCTTTATTATGTACTTGTCGGTTGTAAAGTAGTGAACGAAAGTCCAAGTACTTCGGGAGTTTGGGCGTTGCAATAAAAGCTTCACCTGCAAAACTATGACAATTCCACTGTCTTCATAACTCCCCGAGTTAATGCACACAGGACCAGGTCAGAAAGCCCCAACACCTGTCTATGTGAACCTATTTTTTCCTAGCTTATCAAATTCTTCTTGAGATGCAAGAAGACCTACCAAGGATTAGCATTCCACCAATTTTTCAATTATGCAAACTCCAATGAAATGCTAGTGATTCACCTATTGAAACAGAGGATTTGGTTTTTTTTCTCGATCCATAGGCCAAGTCATACCTTCCAAACTCGTGATCCGTAGTTATATGAAATCTCGACCTCTTAAGCAACCTTATTCACCTCACGCTACCATGACCAGTGTTTGAGTCTCATCATTTCTGATGGGCCCAAATTCAATTGGGTCAGTCCAATAAGTCAAGCCCAAATCAGCTAAAAATCACCCCAAGCCCGTTTTATCAATCCGATCCGGTCCAAGATCTAAGGAGTCCATGAAAAAAGAGACATGTGATGGAGAGATCATCGGGATAGATACACAAGAATTAAATGTGCTTACTTTTTATAGCTATCCTCGCCGAAGAATTAGTATTCTCACACTCAAGTCACTGTCTCACCATATCTATATATTGTAAGTTCTCTCCACATGGAGAGACACAACATCTCTCCCAACACACCTCTCTAGACCCACACACATAGTTTCTCTCTCCTAATTATTGTAACTCCCCCAGAGCTCTTTATCGGCTACTTTATTCATTAATAAAGACCTCTGGCCACCGCTGTTATTTCTCGATAATGAAGTAGGTCACCCGAATCGAACTACTGTATATCTGCGTGTTTACTCATATTTACTGTATTGTCATTGATTGTTTTATTTATTGTTCATTAATTATACCTCTTCACATACTCGACTGTTAATCTTGTACAAGACTAATTTGTACATCATCAATTTTTATCATGATTATACTGATATTCTTATGTGTAAAAAAGTAACTAAATGCACGAATATTTCGCAATTACTAGTAGGCAAAAAAAAAAAAAAAAATTTAGGTTACTACGGGTGGCCATAAAACGACCATTAAGAGAAAAACGATCTTCGTGCACCACTCATACTCCAACGGATAAATATGATTCTATTCACTGTCTGCTTTATTATTTTTGTTTAGACACTGCCCCTTTCAAACTCGGGGCTCCATCGCTACCGAGAAAGAGATTAGGACTTACCATGTAAAGGGTCTAACTCAATGTTTCCTTAAATGCAGAGCTATACTAGTATTAATATAGATGATAGTTTTCCTCCAATAGACTCAATTTTTTTCCTTTGTAAATCCCATTAGTGAGATTCAGATTCTCCTCAATACATTTTTTTTTTCATTTTCCTTCATGACAGGTCAATCGCTATTATTGAGTAAGGGACATATTTATATACATCGAGCTGCTGTTGAATTCATGATGGATGATTTATCAAGAAAAAGGTTAATGGAAAGAAAAAAATATTGGAGGGGATTTCACGCTATATTAGCGAAGACACACTTTTCTATAATGTGTCTTACTTAGGGGCGGAGCCAGAAATTTATTTTAGGGTAGTCACACTTAATCTATAAAATTTAATTTTTTCTCCAATCAATTTGCATATTTTAAAAGCTCATTAAATACAAAAGAATCAAACGCCAATAATACATAGTCTATGAAAACAATACTCATAAAAAAAGGCTAATCACAATCGTTTGTAAAAAATTGAGGCTAATTACAACTATGTATAGTAGGCCCCGATAAGTTTTTAGATTTTAAAAAGATTGTATGATAACGTTATCAATAATGTTATCGAAAATATATTTTCATATATAAGCAATTAAATTAATAGTAATCAATTTTAGAATAAGTCGCATCAATTTTAAAAATTTATAACAATTATGAACTATATAAGATTAAGAGTTATCAAAAAAATAAGGTCAATCACTAATCAGAAGTCGTCAAAGTTACGTAAAAGGTACATCTATTCACTAGTTGTTGCACACGTATTGAATTCCAAAGACCAAAATAATTAGGGTCAATTTGTACAAATAACCAAAATAAAACCCAATAAAATCTCAACAAAAATTACAACTCAGTACAATTTATCGAGTTCTTTCCTTCACTTGTGTGTACATTGAGTGGGCAGTGGGCCCAATTTTTCTCAAGATTTTTAACATATTTTAACATTTATTTGAATGAAAAGTGAGCTTGATTATTTTTTTTTTTGCACAAGATTTAGATGGTCCAAACTTATTAAAGTGAATCTAATATTTTTTATTTTTGGTCACATGGGTGGGCCTAATTCCACATACCAAATAAAAAATCATAAATATACAAAGATAATTTTTTTTTTTTTGTTTTTGTAGGGCCGCCCCGGGTCGTACTTGAATCATAGTAAAGTGATCTAACTTAAGAGAAAATTAAAAATGCATATATCTATATCTATAATATAAAACAAGACAAGTTTTAATAAGTTCATCCGATGGTCTCAAATAGACTCATCTAACGGCCACCAACATCTCTCTCAAAATCATTCACATTGCACTATACCTTGAAATACGAATTACCCTTAATATATCTACATCTATATTAAATGCTGACCCCGTTTCAATCCTTATCCATTGGGTCATTTATTCATCATTAGCCACACTTATTCCAAGCCCCACATTTCAATTCAAAATTACGCTGGCCACTAACATGTCTTCCAAACTTTTTCCCCTCCATATGGACCATGTCCTTGGTTCCAATGAATTGATATTATTATTGTTTTCTCCATATTCCAGTGACCATGAAAACAGCATATTCAGTTGAAAGAATATCGAAATCCACTTGGGGGCTTTGACCTAATGTCGTATATAAAAAGAAGGGTAAGTCCATAGTATCAGTCGATTGTAACTTTGTAATTCAATTTGGTGAGAGTACGATAAAATAGGCTTGTCTAGAATAAAAATCCAAACATTTTAGGAAGAATTCTAATTTTTTAGTCCTACAACAAAATTGAATTGTAAAATATCTTTTTTTTTTATTTTGTAATTTGACCTCAAATTGTATCAGTTCTTATTTACTTGTAACTTGTGATATACTTCTTGGGTACCCTAGTATTATACTAAAAAAAAAAGGGTTAATTACATTTGAGATTCTCAAAGTACATGGTTTATTTCATTTTGGTCTTCAATGTTTCAATTGCATAATTTTGGTATCTGAAGTATTAAATATTATATGGTCCATTAAGTAGACAACGTTTAAATTGCTAATAATTTTTTATCATAAACTTGTCACGTAATACATAAATATAGACAAAAAATAATTTTGATAGCTCTTAAACAAAATTTGGGTAGCTCTTAACAAAAAAAAATGTGTAATATGAGTAGTTTTTGACTAAAATTTAGATAGCTCATGATCAAAACTGTGTAATTTAAATAAGTACTTAACTAAAATTTGAGTAAAAATTTGGTCAAGAGTAATTTTTTTTGTCCATATTTAAGTATCAAGTGACAAATTTATGATAAAAAAAATCGTTAGCAATCTAAACACTGTTTGCTTGAGATATCACATAGAAAGATATTCAATATTTTAGGGACTAAAATGATTATATTGAAATATTGAAAATTAAAATGAAATAAACTTCATACTTTAGGGACCTCTAATACAATTAATCAAAAATAAAAATGCAAAAAATCTTATAGATATGATACCATTCCACACAATAGAACAATTATTTGTTTTTTTTTTTTGTAATATAAAATGGTTGGAGCAGTGGCACATGCTTTTTAGTAGTCCCTATACTACTATAGACCCAAGGCTCAATTCATTCCATAGAACCTTGAAGAAAATCCATCTGGCATGGTTTTAAGTGTTTAGATGAGTTAGAAAGAAATAAAGATAGATCATTAGTCATATGATGTGTGACACTTAAATCAAATGTCCAAATAAACTTAGATATATTTTGAAGGAGTTAATGAAGACAAATTTATAGGAGAAGAAACATATAAGAAATTAGACTGGGGCATAGAAAGAAGCTTATGCAACTCCTGAACAATGATAGTCAAAGAAGGGACTGCTTTTAACTGATCCTCTATACATGGTGTAATAACAGAATTTTCACTTTTCATAACCGCAACTTAAAACTGTGGGGCTTTGTCTTTTTCCTTCATTCCACGACGCTTGTTCCAACACAAATCCTAAGTTTTCAAAACCTTAATCAATGATACAAGTAGAAGTATACTAATGATACAAGTAGAAGTATACTAATTATGAAGTTTTTGCACACATTTAGGGGCAGATTCTGTAACTTCTCTAGAGTTTTAGGGTTGATTTTGAACTTTTTTGCGAAGATAATTTATGAGAAGTTTTAGGGCAGATTCTGAGGTTTCTGTATAATTCTAGGGTTGTTTTTTAAAAGGCTATATAGATTTGGAGCAAATTCTAAAATTTTTGCAATTTTTTGAAACTTAAGGGTCTTCTCTACAATTTGACGAGCCCAAATCTAATCGAGTCAAACACAATAAATCAAGTAAGCCCAAATCAGCTAAAAGACAGGTCAAGTCCAATTCGTGAATTTGATCATGCCCAAGGTCCAAAGAGTCCAAGAAGATTAGAGCACGTAGGGAACAATTATCGAGATACTCATTCTCAAATATCAAGACAATCTTTAACTGTATTTATCTTTTGTCCCCAAAGGACTAGTGTTTTTACCCTCACGTCACCGCCTCAACTAAGGCTCTGTGCTTATAAATTATAAATTCTCTCTACATGAGAGGACACTTCTCTAACCATTGTGCTCTCTCTCTCTCTCTCTCCCGTTCACGTTATCTCATTAATTAAGGTTCTT